GCTATAGGTAGTTTGGGCGTATTTGACTCTATAGACGCCCAAATTCTTATGCTGTTGATTGTTTATTGGGACCAAATTGGGACTGGGAGAAGGGGAGGCAGCCGCAGGTGTCAATTCTGACTTCTGACATGTAAAATGTAGGTAGGCCTAGGTAGTGTAGCAGGCACTTGGCTTGGTAAGACTAAGTACCTACCAACTGCCAAATGCTTTTGGCTCATTAGGCGCCTGTGCCTGAGCCTCTGAGGCTCTTGTAAGTCTGAAATATGGAGTTAAGTGATGGCTAAAGCTGAGGGAGTGATCTAGCATTGATTATTAGGGTGTTGATGGTGACTTGTAAACGACTCAAATTTTTTTTGAGTCGATTCTTTGTTTGAGTCGGAAATTTTGAATCGATTCATCAAATGACTCATGATGCTAAATTTAATCGATTCGAATCAACTCATGACTCATCAAGTTCCTCGATGAAGTGATTCGAATCAACTCACGACTCATCGAAAAATGGTTTGATTCTGAGTCGATTCACGAATCAACTCAGAGTCGTTTACAAGTCTGCTTGGTATAGAGAGATCGAAGATATCTCCTTACCATCCTGAGGGCAACGCAAAAGTGGAGAGATTGATGCGAACTATCATCTCCATGCTGGCGCGCTACTTGGATGAGAACCATGCAGAGTGGGACATCCATTTACCACTGCTCATGCTGGGATACCGATCTCAAATTCACACTTCACTCGGGTATTCACCGTTTTTCCTTGTTTTCGGCCGGGAGCCACGCCTCCCCGCTGAGGTGAATGTAGAGCTCCCGCCCCATCGCAGAGCCGGGAATGTCGTTGAATACGTGGATTCACTGTGCGACAGTCTGCGTATTTCCCGGCAGTTTGGGATCGCGGCGTCCAACAGGCGTCATGAGCGGAACAAGAAGGCTTTCGAGAAAAAATTAAGCGAGTTTAACTTCCAGCCGGGCGACGGAGTTTATGTTTACAAGAATATTGTGCCGAAGGGGCAATATTACAAATTTGTGCGCCCTTGGAAACCGGGCACAGTGCTGAAAAAGATCGGCGATGTCAATTACCGGGTTAAGATTCGTGGGACAGGGAAGTCGATTTTGGTCCATCATAATCGGCTGAAACCCGATTCAGCGGCTTCATTCGGCGATTCAGGGAGCCCCCAGGTAGCTGACTATGCTGGACAGCAGAGGGGCTCCACTCGCGATGCTGTCCCGGAGGGCACCGTGCCGACTCCTCAGATGACTCTGGGCGACGCTGCCAGGACTGATGACGTGCCGTTGGTCGGTGGCGCATCGGCGGTGGCGCCTTCCCTGGTCCGTGACGCTGCCGTTTCTGGTCCGTCCAACTCTGTTGAGATGGGGTCTGACCTGGCTGCTTCGCCGGTTGACGTTTTCGGCGGGCCCAACAGAGCGTCCCAGGGGACCAGAGTCGGGCTTGAGTTGGCTGAATCCAGTGTTGGGCGTGCTGGGCCATCTGTGGTATCTGAGGACGGACCCAGAGAGCCCAGCGTGGGACCAGAGGATGATGACTCGGACGTGACCTCCGGGGTGGTTGCAGGGACTTCCTTAGGGGAGAGCGGTGAACCGGGTCCCGTGGAAGGTGCCAGGGAGCGCGGTGAACCGGGTAACGGGGAGAGTCCCGGGGAGAGTGGGGAACCGGGTACCAGGGAGGGTCCCAGGAGATCGGAGAGGAGACGAGCTCCCCCAGATTTCTTTGTTCCCGGTTAGTGATTTATCATATTATTTAGGGTGTAGCGCGCATTTTGTGTCTGATTGTTATGTGCGAGGTTACACTTGATTTTTGTACAGCACCCATTGCGTGTGTTCGATGTGCCGCATTGGTATCTTGTGGGTTTTGTTGTGATATGACTGTGGCGTGGCGTGTGGCTTGCCTTGTTTCACCGGTATATGCTGCCTTACTTTGCGGGGAGTGATGTAGTCGGAGACTGTTGTCGGCTCGCGGAACGGTCCTGCCGCGCCGTCGTGCTGCCGGCCGCGTGATCATCGGCGCACAGAACGGGCCTTCACGGCGTGGGGTGACCGCTGAGTGTCTGGCGCGAGGTGATTGGTCGGCGTTGGGTCACGTGACCGATCTGACCTCGGTCCGACCCATCGATGACTCGGGATTCTTGGACTGACGTTTGCCTGGTGCGGAGCCAATACAACGACGAGCGAATCGCCATCTTTCTGAGAGAGGAGCACGACTACAGATCTAGCTCCTTGATATATCGAGAGATCCGTACAGATCATATGCAGGTCCAAGTCTAATTTTTGCTTGAGATCCATGAGATAATAAATCCTTATTTCTTTTTGGTCAACACCTAAATCCCCCCAAACAAATCATTAGCTGCAGCTTACAGTCATTACGTTTTAGTGATGTGATGTGATTGCACGTCATAATCCATAATTTAGTGGCACTTATTAACTTAGAAACACTTGGAAACCTGCTTCCAAATGTTGTGCATGGCGGGATCCACTCAGATCATAGATCCACGTTCTGGGTTTATCGTCAGATCCAGGACAAAAGTTTTCACGCCGGATCCGGTGGGATCATGGATCCTAACCTGCAGTTTGCTCCAAGATCCACTGAGATTATAAATCCACTACTCGGATCCATGCACAGGTCTGATTGGTACCTAATCAGTTATCCGCACGCAAAGGTAATATTTCATTCGTTACACTGAAAACAATTTAACCCAAGGCCGGCAAGTAAACCGGTGTTTCGCGGGTACCCCTATCCGCAACCATTTTTAACCACCCTCCCAAGAGTACAGTAAGGTCCGATTGCAGTGTAGTCGTCCCTGCTCTCAGCGGACATGTTCGCTGACAGCGGTTATATCCGCTCAGAGCAAGTACGACTACACCGCAATGGGACCTAGCCCTACTCCTGGGAGGGTGGTTAAAAATGGTTGCGGATAGGGGTACCCGTGAAACACCGGTTTACTCGCCGAACTTGGGTTAAATTGTTTTCAGTGTACCGTAGGTTTAGCGTGGATACACATGTAGGGGTGATATGGGCTGTTTGGTGCTCTTTTAACCTAATTCATTGTCTCGAGTTGTCGTGCCTTGCTGTTCATCTCACTTCCACTGCTTCATCCATTAAACCATTGTTTAAAATGGATCCGCTTATAAACAGCAATAAATGAGACTCTTCAACGATACATGTATCTTTGAAAAGGCGACAAGAGCGTTGAACGGCAAACGCTGTTTCCAGAGGAAGATGGGCATGCAACACAACAGATCTGTTGGCCCGATGGTTTTCTTTTCGCAACACTTCTGTTATGAAAATCCACGCACATCTTCTGCAAAACAAGTCACGCAAAATTAGTCGCGTGTCACTGAAATCTCGCCCGTTTTGGTGTTTTAGCAGCGGTCCGTTGGACCCACTTGCTGTTCGGCGCCTTATCAAACCAGCGGAAAAAAAAAACGGGCGTGTTGGCCGTAACGACAGGAAGCCGATGATACCCAATTTTAAGGTTCTAGGTCAGTGGTTGACCTTCCAGGTCAGGTCAATGACCCTAAAGTCGGGAAAATCGGGATCTGCTAGAACTTCGTAAAGTGAGGCTTTTAAAGTTTTTTTTTTCGGGATCCTGATCACGAATTTCCTTAGTACCTAAGACTTAATCACAGATGATGTCGTCATGCATTTAGGCCTGGTCAGGTCAGGTCAGGTCAGGTCAGGACAACCAGTAGGTAGGCGTCCTGCCGGCTATCCAAAAAATTACATTTGAAATCAGCTCCAAAACTCTATCCTATAGGGAGTAGGGACATAAAAACTCGAAAAATTAAATCAAGATCATCAAGGTCTTGACCTGACCTTTACGTGATGTTGACACCCACCATAATGCATGGGACCAAAATCATTTCACATGTTGGAACGCTTACCTACAACCACAAAAAGAATAGGAACGCGTGGATAATGTGAGCCGAAAAGTCATTTACATAAGCGACAAGCGTTCCAAAATCATTTCACATGTTGGAACGCTTACAACCACAAAAAGACTGGGAGTGCGCGGATAATGTGAGCCGAAATACACCGAATCGCGATTCCGACCAAACATGGTCCTCTCGAGAAACAGGTCACAGGTCAAAGATCATTCGGGTCAGGGTCATGAAATTTTCTGGGTAGGTGTTAAAAGGTACCAACGCGAGGCTACAAAGTTTCGTCGCGATTGACCACTTTTTGCGCGAGTTATTCGCGAAAAAACGAGGGGGTCCGTTTGACCTCCCTTTAAGTGCGAGAGGTTAAAATCAGGGCACTAAACACGTGCAGTGGTGGCTCTCAGAGAATGGCATATATGTCATTCTCTGAGAGCCACCACTGCACGGGCCCTGAATGGTCAGTGGGCCCTCAGAGACCGTCGTGAGACCTCAGAGGCCAGTCAGGTGGAGCCCCTCACAAAACCCACTTTGAATGTGGATTATGAGATCATTTCGATCCGGATATAAAGACGTGCGCAGTCACATGTTGGAGTCTCAGCCTAGGCAATAAGTGAAAGCTGTATTTGGACTTTAACAAACAATCTACAGCTTAACAACGCATTTTTCTACTTCCAGGGAGACCGGGCTTCACGCTTACAGACGGGGATGAGTTTTACCCCTTTCATCCCCTAATGCTAATGTTAGGTGGTCGAAGCATGACATCAACGCTCCGCGTGATTCCGATACCTGCCTACGCCAACCCAATCCAGGTGCAGGTATCTGACCCACCCATCCAGGGTTGTTCTTGTTCCTCTACCTTGGCAATGCCCCCGCCGTCCCCATCCCCTAGCGAGGGGTGTTCCCCCACCTCGGGGTACCCCACCCTCCCCGACCAGGGGTGCTCCGCCACCCCGGCGCGGAGGTGACCCCGCCCTGCCCGCCCTCCCCGGCTGCAGCGGAGCGCGCTGCACCGTGTCGCGTCGGGCGCACAAGGTCGCGGGCGTCACGGAAGCCCCGCCGGGTCGGGCCGCGCGGCTTCCCGTCGAGCCGTCCCGGAGGAGGCCAGTCGCCCGGGCAGGGTGTCGGAGGAGCGACTGTCCCCTGCAGCGGCGCCAGACCGCCCAGCCCGCCGGACCGCCGGACCGCGCCGCCGCCGCCGAGTCACAGCTCAGGTCAGTGCGTGGGGGAGAGGGCACCCGTCAGCACAGCTCAGGTCAGTCGGAGATCTGACTGTCAGCTCAGGTCAGACTCATCCAGGTCAGTCTAGTCAGGTCAGGGCAGATCAATTGCTATGCCTACAAGTCAGATCAGTCGATGGACAACAGGTCGCGTGCGAGCTAAGACTTTTCAAATGACCTCATCCGTATAGCTCAGATCAGCCGACCAGTGGAACTAGCAAGTTACAGCTCAGTCGGACTGACCAGTCACAGCTCAGTCGGACTGACCAGAGTCCCAGCTCAGTCGGACTGGCAGCCACAGCTCAGTCGGACTGGCAGTCACAGCTCAGTCGGACTGACCAGAGTCACAGCTCAGTCGGACTGACCAGAGTCACAGCTCAGTCGGACTGACCAGAGTCACAGCTCAGTCGGACTGACCAGTCACAGCTCAGTCGGACTGACCAGAGTCACAGCTCAGTCTGACTGACCAGTCACAGCTCAGTCGGACTGACCAGAGTCACAGCTCAGTCGGACTGACCAGTCACAGCTCAGTCGGACTGACCAGAGTCACAGTTCAGTCAGCAGACCGGTCAGGTTGGGTAATTAATCAGAGCTAGGAGTAGTCACCCACGCTGGCAAAGCCGAGAGGGTCACCTGTGCGGTCAGCCTGAGTGGGTCACACTGTTCGGTTGCAGCCTGACCCGACGGATTAATCCAGCAGCACCTTTAGGTGCACGCCGGTCAGTTGTATCGACCATATTGCCTGGGATAATAATTAGTGCTGGATCTGCTGTCAATGCGCTGTCAATTATTTATGTCAGTTCGACAGACTCCAGTCAGTCATAAGATGACATCCAGCATCGAACATTATTTGGCCCCCCAACTACATCAACAATGCTATAGTTACAGGAATGCATGAACAGAACCCTTTTGAAGTGTGGGGAGGCTCAATCTGAAAAGTACCCAACAATCAAACTTCTAACGATCGACAATCTAACTCCTTGTCGATCAGGTTTCAGGCCAGACTTTCGAAACCAGCCATAATTTGAGAGCGATTTGAGCACAAGTGACAGCAGGTGATTGGTGGCTCGTGAAATCCGTCTCACAATATTACGCCTTTGGTAGTGCATCGAAAGAAACGAGAGGCTCTATCCGTGAGGCCTACTGGGACGGGTGGAAATATCTCAAAGCAGCGGCGCTGACGCTGCTGTTTTGGTTAAATGTTATCATCATATGAGTATTTTGCACATATTGTACAAATTATAAACCCATGGTCATTAACCTTCCAGTCGGTGGGTGAGGGGGGCATTTTTTGCCCTCTTTAGTCTTTTTTCGATATATCCCCAGAACCGCGGCGCTGATCGTCACCAAACTTTCAGTACCCTCCCGTGAATAGCTTTTACACATTGTGACCAAAATTTTTCCAGAGGCTCTGATAGGTTGGCCGCTAATGACGTCGGAGTGTGGAGTGACTAGTGGTGTCAATCGGTTACCGAAAAATTCGGTTACCGAAAAGATGTGTTGACCGATTCGTTAATTGGTCGGTCAGGCCCCCCAAAATCGGACATTTTCGGTCACCCTGTCAGTGAAACCATATTCAACCAGAGAAAGCATTCCATTTTTACCTAGTTAAATGCAATGTACCCTTAGCCAATGTACCCTGCAATCTACCCTTAGCAATGTAACTTCTACCACAAAATGTATTTTGCAGTGGCTAAGAATTGGCTGAACTTGGACTGAAATGCTATTTCCCATTATTTTCCATCAGAATTTAACAAATAATTTAATTTGGGGGTAAAATAATAGCAACTAGAATTTCGGTCAAATTTCGGTCATATTTTGGCTTGGGATGTTGTCGGTCGGTATTCGGTCGGAAATGTTTCCCAAATTTCGGTTTCGTTCGGTATCGGTCAGCGATTTTTTGGAAAATGACACCACTAGGAGTGACGTCATTTCTGCCATTTTCGACCCAAAAAAGGTTTCGCGGGAAGAGCTGTCAGGCCAACAGCTTTAGAGATACAGAAAAAAATGTTTTAAAAATAAGAGGTGTAGAATAAACATGGATATAAAATTGCACTCTTGGATTTTTCAAATTTTTGACTTTGAACCCCAAAAATCAAAAACATATATTTTTTAATATTATAGCCTAAAATCCAAAAAAGCTTTTGAATGAAAAAAACGGAATACATGTGATATTTCCTACCATCTTCTATACACATCAAAATTGAGATAAATACCTCTTTTCTGGATAAGGTATAGCGAAAAAACTGTTCAAAATTGATGACGTCAAATTCTTTTTTTTTGCAATTCTAGACCACGTAGCGCCAAACAAAGACCACCATTACACTCTCAGTGACGAGCTGCATCGACTCAATACCGATTTTATGCAAAAATATCAATTTTGAAATTTGACCTTTTTGACCTGAAGTTGACCTGACCTCCAAAAAAAAGATCAAATTTTACTACGCGCCGCGGTCTTTCCGCTATTCACGAAAAACCTCAGGGGGGGGGGGGCAGATAACCGCCCCCGTCGGTGCGCGGGTTAAACATCAATATATATTATGTAATATATTATGTAATATACTATTACTGACATCATCAGAGCAAAACCCTAAAATAACTCATTGGATTCCTTTAATGGATGAGGATGGGCAAAGTACGTCTATATTCAGCAAAATATTTTTTTGTGTGTTCTTATCCTAAAAAGCCTTATTATGGATGTATAGGAACATCAAATAACTGCTTTTACAGGCCGTGCCGCCCTGGATGACCCGGTCGCAATAACTGTCGTTGCAGGCCGTGCTGCCATGGGTGACGCGGTCGCCGGTCATGTCTTTGCAGGCCGTGCTGCCATGGGTGACCCGGAGCTGGGCGAGGGCCCGGCCGAGGCCGACCGCTCCCAGACACCCGAGGACGGCCTGGACCCGGCTATTGACTCCGAGCTCAACCCGCACGAGAAGCGCTTCCTGCTGTTCGCCGAGCGCGGCGATGTCGCCTCCGTCAGAGCGTGAGTATCCAAATCCACCCGTATTGAACATTGGTATCATTTAATGCACCGTCAACAGGACAGCGGAGCTGCTGAAATACATTCCTGCCGGACGGTGCCGGGAGGTGACGTGAGGCGAGTGGCGCCACCCGGCCGTCAGCCGCGCCGTCTCAGTCTGCCTCCGCTCACCGCTGACTGCGCTGGGTCCCTGCGGTGGTAGGCTGTGCCGCAGCGCACCAGTGTACCGCGGCACAGTCTATAGCCGCAGCTCAGCCGCGCCGTCTGCCTCCGCTGACTGCGAGTATCTTACTGCATCACAGTTTATGGGAACGGATCCGCGGCGAACGATGCTCGGATGCTGAAGGTTGTCAATTTTGCAGCGCGTGTAGTGACCGGTCTTAGGAAATCTGATCACATCACTCGAGCGCGAAATCAGTTGTGTTTTATGGTGCCGCGCCAAATGCATGATTTGTATACCTTGACTGCAGCTCACAAGATACTTGTCAGTGGAGAGCCGTCCGAACTGGCCTCACTCTTCCAGTGCTTTTCCGACGCGCGCAATTGTGACCGGCCAACTAGACAGGACGGGCGTCTTCGGCCGCCGGCTTTCCGAACCGTGACCGGACAGCGATCTTTTAGTTACCGAGCTGTGACGCTTCTCAACCGCCTACCAATCGAGACCCGAGCTCTGGGCCCGTTTGCTTTTAAGCGCGCTGCCAAGTCGCTGGTACTGCAGTAGCTTTTACGACCGTGTGTGCACGAGTGGTGTGTGCGTGTATGTATGCTGTGTACATGTTGCGTGACATCCCTCCCACCTCATTGACACTTTGTTTTATCTATCTTACTTAAGGCACAGAATAGCCACAACCATGTGTGGAGTGGCTGTTGATGTCATACTGCGCTGGATCCCTGCGGCGGTAGGCTGTGCCGCAACTCACCGGCGTCCCGCGGCACAGCCTATGTATAGCCGCAGCTCAGCCGCCGGACGACGCATGAAACCAGCCAGCTGGACTAAAGAATGATAATGATTAATGGTTTAATAAGCTTAGGCATGGATGAGATATTATTATTGATCTATGTAGGGTATTATCTCATCCATGGCTTAGGCATGAGGATGCTAGTCGACAGATCTTCAGACATCAGAAGACAGATTTCCGAAGACAAATTTTACAACATTTTTTTCTCATAATAGTTATTTAGTCTCTTCCTTTTCTAGAAAATAACACATTTGCATCGAATTCCGGCGCTGTGAGGGGGCAATCGCTCCAAATGCCCTCCCTTGGATCCGCCAGTGGTTGTTTCACCAATCATTGGTGCCCGTTTTCAGGGACCTAGAGAGGACCAAGGCGAACCATCTGATCAACATCAACTGTACCGATCCTCTTGGAAGAACGGCTCTTGTCATCGCCATCGACAATGAAAATATGGTCAGTGGGTCGAACGGTAAATTGTCGTGGTAATAACGATCCTTTTGCTTACATAATGCTTGTGTGGCACGTTAGAAACAGCAATGAAGTGCGAAGGATGAGTGTTCAGGATGGAAGCTCGTTCTCACAGATGTCTGCTGTTTGCAGGAGATGATCGAATGTCTGCTGAACGCCGGCGCTGAGCCCCGGGTAAGACGCAAACGCTGAATGGGCGGCCCAGTCAGCAATCCCGTCAGTGCTGTGCCGGTTCTGTGCTCAATCGTCTTTAGCGGAGTATTTACATATGAAATTATATTTGCGTCTTTTTTTCTCTGCTTTAGAAAATACGATTTTTAAATCACAAAATTACCTACAGGCATTATCAAAAATACGGAGATACTTATGCCAAGATCTAGTTATCAAAGTCAGGGCAAATGTCAAGGTCAATGCAAGGTCTAAGCCAAGGTCACCAGTGTCGAAAACATAATGTATTCCCAACAAGGCTTACAAGGAAATAGTTGTTGTGGTAACGATCGCATACCAGTTTTAGTATGTTAAGAAGTTACTTACATACATAGGTACAGTCTGCAGTCTGTCTTAAAAGTACCGCGCAAAGTGACGGTGGATCCATCAAGCCTGACCGAGAAAGGGTCTGCTTTAATTTGAAAGTCACCGACCAATTGACCTAGGGAATGGACGAGGATGTTAATTGCTTCGGTGACCAAAATTTAGCAGGCCCTTCCTCGATCAGGCTCGATGGATCCACCGTCACTTTGCGCGGTACTTTTAAGACAGACTGTACATCAATGTTTGGGTGGTAATCCCATCGCTCCCCGCGCCCCGCAGGACTCGCTGCTGCACGCCATTTCCGAGGACTATGTCGAGGCCGTCGAGTACCTGCTCTCCTGGGAGGAGGCCAACCACCAGAAGGGAGAGCCCTACGTGAGTGACCCGCACTGAATGAGGCATTGAGCTAACGTGCATAGAACTATCTGACAGAGTATGTTTTACAATCATTTATCGTTACATGTCACGAGTCACGATCGTGTTAAGCTTCGTTGGTCACGGCTCGCTGAGCTAGCCTCGCTGAATGATGTGAACCTTCTGTCTGGGAAAATCTCCATTTATGCATTTATAAAACTTCGGATACATCACCATTTGACTCGACTAGCGGCTTCTTCAGGCTGCACTATATATATATATATATATATATATATATATATATATATATATATATATATATATATATATATATATATATATATATATATATATATATATATATATATTGACAATTGCTGACAACTCCACATCACTCATTGTGGCTATTCTGTGTCACAAGTCAAAAGATAAAACGATCAACGGGAAATATGGTTGAGGGGTAAAAACAGGCACACAGTCAAACAACACTCATACGTCAGAAAATGCTAACCCCGTCCACCCTCCCCACCCCTATTGCACACCACCGACTTGACTGCTCGCTTAAAGCGTGCCGGGTTCAGCTCCAATGTGCTCGCAGGCAGTTCGTTCAGGAGTGATGCGGCACGGTAGGTAAAAGACCGCTGGCCGGCGGCTGTACGCATGAGTGGAGGCCGCAGCCGCCGGTCCTGCCGGGTACCACGATCACAGCGCTGACGTGAGTCCACAAATGTCACAAACTGGGATGAGATGTCCGTGGGCTCCCCGCACACAATCGCCTTCTGAGCCACAGTCATGGTGGACACGTCACACATCAGTCGAGGGGAGATAAAACCAAGCTCCTCCCGCGCGCGAGACACATGGTCATACTTCCGCTCATGTGACCCAGTACGCTGACGATACCCAAATCCTGATATCCGACTCACTGAGACCCCTGCGCGCTGCAGACGACCCCAGTGAGACCCCTGCGCGCAGCAGTCCGCCCCACTGAGACCCCTGCGCGCGGCAGTCGACCCTCTGAGACCCCCGGCCCCCTCACGTTACACCTGCAGTCGTGGGAGCGGATCGACGAGCGTGTGGCCATCTTCACGCCCGAGATCACGCCGCTGATCGCCGCCGCACAGCGCAACAACTACGAGATCCTGAAGCTGCTGCTGGACCGCGGCGCCACGCTGCCGCTGCCGCACGACATCAAGTGTGGCTGCGACGAGTGCGTCTTCTCACAGCAGAGGGACAGCCTCAGGTGAGGGTGAGCTCAGCAGACGGCCAGAGAAGGCTGGAAAACACACTGAAGATAATGCTTTGGAAAGAAATCCATAATCAACATTTGCTGTAGATAATCAAATGGTCAGGTTGCGGTGGATTTGTCTCAGTTGATAGGGAACTACTGTTATTTGCACCTGTTCCCGCCCGTTCCGTCAGACACTCGCGGTCACGGATCACGGCCTACCAGGCGCTGGCGTGCCCCTCGCTCATCTGTCTGTCGTCCCGCGACCCCATCATGAGCGCGTTCGAGCTGAGCGCCGAGCTCAGGAAATTGTCGACGGTCGACACCGAGTTCAAGACAGAGTACCTGGTGTGTGTGCTGTGCACAGAGGTCGATCTATCTAGAGTAGAGAGCAGAGCACAGAACCAGAAGCAGTGACGAACGGAACATAGCCGAAATAGATGCAATAACGCCGGGGCAAAAGAAAATGTGCTTTTCGTTGCTTCGAAATACGAACACGTGGGAAATATAATCCTTACTGCAAAGCACAGCACGAATATGATGTAGATTATCAACACCCCGCAAACGCTATGCTTTCTTTTTTTTCTGAAAAAAAGACCAAAGATTTTGTTTCATACTTTCAGAATCCTCCGGAAGAGTCCTTGCTCATTATCAAAACACACCAAAAGACCCGAGATATAAAGCCAACTATAATAATGTATGTAATTCTGCACAGTCTAGCGGCCGCTGTAGCACTTCCAGCCTTTCAATAATCGGTAGTTGCCCCTGTCAGTTGTATTCCGTAGCGGCGGAACACCTTCAATTAAGGGGGGGGCACTGCCGACTTTTGGTCACATTCGTTCCATGCAACGCCCATGGGCTAATGTTAAAATGCCAAAGTCAAAGGGTGCCCCGGTGCCCTCTCCGTTCCGCCGCCTATGGACTTGTATTGCCTTCCTGATGTATCGAACTTTAGCGCTCTGTATCTTCCCACTCGGTCGATATTACTGTAATCAGTAGTCGCACCTTTTGGTTTGCACTCCATGCTTCACCTCGTCAGGATCATGGACAAAAATCATGCATATTTTTAGTGCGTCATGCTTTTTAAACAAATTTAAGATAACCACCAGACCTGAGTGGACACTGCTGGTGAGAATCTGGCCTCCTCCTCGTTTGCTGTTGCCATTGATAAGCCATTTTCATAATACGTGCCCGGCCATCGGTCTCCCGCCCCACTGACCGACCCCACTGACCGACCCCACTGACCGACCCCAGCTGCCCCACTGACCGCCCCCGGCTGCCCCATTGACCGACCCCGGCTGCCCGCTGGCCGACCCCGGCTGCCCCACTGACCGACCCCAGCTGCCCCACTGACCATCCCCGGGCCGCTGTCCCACTGATCGCCGCACTGACCGACCCCCACTGGCGCGCAGACGCTGCGGAAGAACGTGCAGACATTCGCCGAGAGTCTGGTCGACCAGACGCGCAAGTCGCACGAGCTGGAGATCATCCTCAACTACGACCCGGAGGGCGGCGCCTACCAGCCCGGAGACAGAATGCACTTTGAGCGCCTCAAACAGGCCATCCGGTTCCGCCAGAAGGAGGTAATATACGCTCCGGCAGGCGGCGGCCGGCCGCGGGGCACCACCATGGGACACCGGAGGGGACGGAGATGATGGTAGTGAGATAATCACACAGAGGGCTTCCTTGTCCAAGGGAGCTTGAGTTAAACACCAACAATCACCAATCATTCGTGATCAAAATGCTGTGCAAATTTTAGGTATTGAGCCGTCGCGGTGATGCACCCACCGGCCGCTCGCCGTGCGCATTTTATCGCGCACGTAGTGGCCCCGCACGCAGTGACTCCGCTCGCTGTCCGCTCACGCAGTGACTCCGCTCGCCGTTCGCAGTTTATCGCGCACGCCAACGTGCAGCAGCTGCTCGGCACCGTCTGGTACGACGGCATGCCCGGCTTCCGGCGCAAGAGCGTGCTCGGCCAGCTGGCAGAGATCGGCAAGATCGGCGCCATGTTCCCCGTCTACTCGACCATGTACATGGTGGCGCCGCACTCCTCCTGGGGGCAGCACTGCCGCAAACCGTTCGTCAAGTTCATCGTACACTCCAGCAGCTACATGTTCTTCCTCTGTGAGTTCTGTCAGCGGCGGGCGCCGCGTGCTCTATATGAGTTCTGCCGGCAGTGAGCGCCGCGTGCTCTACACCAATGGTTTACTAAAGTCTGCCCTAAGCGTCGCTTCGGTCAGCCGCTGTGCCGAACCTATAGATATATAGTCCTGCTGGTGATGGTGACGGTGCTGTCCAGTGTTCAATGTCTGTGTCTCTCTGTCCCCCCAGCCGTGCTGGTGCGCCTGCCACCCCCTCCCGTGGTGCGTGCGCCTCTGACACCCCTCCTGCTGTCCCCGCAGTCCTGCTGGTGACGCTGACACCCCTCCTGCTGTCCCCCCAGTCCTGCTGGTGACGCTGACACCCCCTGCTGTCCCCTCAGTCCTGCTGGTGCCGCTGACACCCCTCCTGCTGTCCCCCCAGTCCTGCTGGTGATGGTGTCACAGCGCGTGGAGAGCACCGTGGTGCGCTTCTGACACCCCTCCTGCTGTCCCCCCAGTCCTGCTGGTGATGGTGTCGCAGCGCGTGGAGAGTACCGTGGTGCGCCTGTTCGGCACAGAGTCGATGATCGAGTGGCAGGACGAATACGAGCGCAGGTCGCGCGGCGCCATTCCCACCTACGTCGAGATGATGGTCATGTTGTAAGTGGGCGCAGCGGTCAGACGTGCCGGCAGGGTGCCGAATGGCGTGTACGTCTCCTCCCAATGTCGTTTTTGTTTATATATCTGTTTATTGCTAGTTGGGAATAATTAATTAAAAAGCATTCTTTCGTTCTACTTTCTGCACTAACACCACCCCATTGATATACGTATTGGCGTTTTTATCACAACCAAGGCCGACCGAGACTACCAGGCATTTCAATTTCCAACCTCTACCGACCCCCCCCCCCCCTGCTCACAGCTACATTTTCGCCTTCATCTGGGCGGAGGTGAAGCAGCTATGGGAGAACGGGCTGGTCCACTACCTGGGCGACATGTGGAACATCGTCGACTTCGGCACCAACTGGTTCTACGTCAACTGGATCCTGCTGCGGTAACTGACGCCCTGCGAGTCATCCACCAGCAGCCCAAACAGCCAGTTCTGGCTGGTAGCACAGAGCTAGCTGGTAGCATGACACAGTGCCAGGCAGCCCAATAACAATGACTGAAGTCACACAATCAATGTTCACGGTAGCGTCATGAATTATGCCGCATAAAATTAGGCAAAAGTACGCGCAACGCTATTGTACCTGAACCTGCAGCGGCCTTTCATCTTTTGCATCGGCTCGGTTTGACTTCCACCGCCCATCAACTAACTACCATGCATGCCTGTTATCATAAAACAACAACGTCGCACTCCTGCATGGACTATGGAGGCCATTTGATTGAGCGTAATAAAACATACCTACCATCCACCGCGGCACAACTAGCGCCCGCGTGAACGGCCATGGGAATTGGTATTCAGAATTGGTTCAGAGAATTGGTTGTGTGATTGGTCGTGGTCGATGCTTTGGTGTGCGCGCGGTCACCGTGCTGCCGGTCCTGCCGTCGTCGCAGGGTGACGGCGTTCATCGTGGTGTGGCGAGAGCAGGCGGCCGGTATCGACCCGTGGCGGCCCAAGGACCAGTGGCACCCCTACGACCCCATGTTCATATCGGAGGCCATGTACGGAGCGGCCAACATCTTCAGGTACATGCCCGACTCGTCGGACCGCGCGGCGGGGGTATGGACAGGGCCGGGGTGTCGCACTCAATCATCCACGCAGGCTCTTTGGAGGATTTGGATAATAATAATAATAGGTTTAGTAAGCGCTTTAATGTAAGATTGTTAGCTATTACACCATTTCCGCTCAGCCCAATCTATCTAAAATTGCGCAGAAAGGTTTTGATTAACATTCGAAGCCGCATAAATTCGAGCCTTCAGCCAGATTCGAGCCTTCAGTGGTAGGGTCAGTGGCTATCAATTACGGGGCATTCAGTGAGATGATTGGTTTTGTTTCACGGCTGTTTCAGCTTTCTGAAGCTGATCCACATTCTGTCCGTGAGCCAGCACCTGGGACCGCTGCAGATCTCCCTGGGACGCATGGTGTTCGACATTCTCAAGTTCATGAGCATCGTCATGCTGGTGGTATTCTCGTACGGATGCGGTGAGCATGATAGCCGCACGGTGCGCAATTAGTTGCTCGTAGCGAGCATCGACTAACCTTTTTGGACTTGCTGGGAACATGTTACGTCTACGACCAGTACCATGTGCTGAACAGTGACCAGGTCTGTCCACCGGACACTGACGCTGACTGCTGTGCCGCTCTCCAGGTCTGAATCAGATGCTGTGGTTCTACTCAGAGACGGACAAGAACCTCTGCTTCTCCGGACCGGGTGGGACGCCCAACGAAGATTACGAGAACTCGTGCCAAATCTGGCGCCGCTTTTCAAAGTAAGTACACTATGTATAAACACACGACATGTTATGTGACCTCGGTCTGATGCAGCGTGTCTGTCTCACTCATCGTCTAACCCGCAGTCACACACTCATTCCCCGTCGGCCTTGTGCCCCGCATACTTTTCATGCTCGAAGTCTGTCGGTCGTGTTCAAAGTCTGTGCTCATTGTGCACAGTCTGTTCCCGTGTTCACAGTCTGTTCCCCCGTATATTCATTGTTCATGCAGTCTGTTCCCGTGTTCACAGTCTGTTCCCCCGTATGTTCATTGTTCATGCAGTCTGTTCCCGCGTGAGCAGTCTGGTTGAGACCGGTCAATCGCTGTTCTCGCCGGCGTTCGGACTGATTGTTCGAGTGTTCACAGTTTGTTCCCAGTGTTCACATCTGTTCGGGTCTGTTCACAGTCTGTTCGAGACCAGCCAGTCGCTGTTCTGGGCGGCGTTTGGACTAATCGACCTGGAGAATTTCGAGCTGACTGGCATCCCGGAGTTCACGCGGTTCTGGACACTGCTCATGTTCGGCAGCTACTCCACCATTATCATCATTGTGCTCATCAACCTGCTGATCGCCATGATGTCCACCTCATACACCATCATCTTCGTAAGCACTCAAATGCGCGAGACTTTCATACTAGGTTGTGATGTCAATACGAATGGCAACATTCATATTGCAGGACTTACAGTACGGCATAGGTATGTTACGGGTCATATGCTAACTTGGGCAGTATGCAAACTACCCGGGCAGTATGCATACTACCCAACAGCCCGGGCAGTATGCATACCGCCCGGGTAGTATGCATACTACCCGACCCCTTGGGCAGTATGCATACCGCCCGGGAAGTTTGCATACTGCCCGGGTAGTATGCATACTACCCACCTTTCAGCTCACGGGCAAGATGTTTACTCGGGCAATATGCTGACCGTGGCTCGTGAGACTATTTAATGCAATAGCTCACAAATACATGTCAATGACAGACGCTTTAACCCGCGCTGGGGCGGTGCTCGGCGCCAGCCGTGCCGGGCTGGGGGGGGGGGGGATTAAGCACTCCTGTTCGGCTCCTGTGCCTGGTGCCACTTAGCGGCACAGGAGTAAGCGGCATGTAAGATGCGGTAACCGGCATTCGAAATAGCGTAAAAAAAATCATGACGAAATTACTCTAGTCATTTTTTAGGTTAGAGGTCAGTTTTACCAACAGAAAAATAGCCGCTTGCTGGAATTTTTCGCCTCAAGACGGCTTCACATACGGAGCGTTAAAGGGACCCTCCCACCTTCAAAAAAGTTAATGAATTGGCATGAAAGTGATGTCGCTCGATTCAGAAAGAGCAAAAACGAAAATCTACCAAATTTCATCGAAAAATATTCACCGGTTTTCAAGATATTAGACTTTTACTTTTGTTTACTTTTTGGGATCTCCGCTGTTCCTAGCGACTTTATTTGAAAGTGCGGCACTTGTTGCGCGCTAAGCAGCATATACCACCGCGTGCTACAAAACGTTTTAGTCAAACATTTAAATATCAATAGATATTTGCGCTGACGTCACACATTCAGAGGAGTATTCCTATGCATTAGCCCCTCTGAATCAAAATGCTGCAATTTTGAAATTCAATATTTCCTATTTAAGGCATTTCTCGATGTTGTGAGTGCCGAAACCGGTAATTGTGAGCCAGGGACCCCATTTTGGCTATCTCAACTCAAATCTAATGTTAAGGTGGGAGGGTCCCTTTAATGGTAAAGCCCTATCCGCTTATGTGCCCATCGCGTTTACGTTCCGTATGTGAAGCGGTCTTTAGGCAAAACATTCCGGCAGACGGCTATTTTTCTGTTGGTAAACTGGCTTCTGAGCTGGTAACCTGACCATTACAATTTGTAACGTCTTACATGCATGCAACATTAGCTATTGAAACTATAATAACGCCCTCTACTGATCCAGGTGCCAAACCAAAGGTATCGAGTGATGACACTATAGATCTGTCGTCATTTCAGATGAAAAATGACTTGTTGACCGCTGGCTTATTAACAATGAAATTCTGGGAAAATAATTTTAAGTCTTTATATTCCAATCCTTACTCCACCCCTCAATCGATAAATCACGTTTGACGGCAAAAAGACTTCGCGGTTGAACTACGTTACTTAGATAGTCATTAATATTTTGAAAATGGACATGGAATACACAACTTCAATACAAGAAGCGGGCAGTATGCAAACTGCCCAAGCTTTTGGGTGGTATGCATACTGCCCAAGGGGTCGGGTAGTATGCATACTACCCGGGTGGTATGCATACTGCCCGGGCTGTTGGGTAGCTTGCATACTGCCCGGGTAGTTTGCATACTACCCAAGTTAGCATATGACCCGTAACAGGTATACGTTAGAAGTAGAGGCTATAACGTCCCTCCCTCTCATCCACAGGAGCGCTCCGACTTGGAGTGGAAGTTCGCCCGCTCCAAGCTTTGGATGAGCTACTTCGAGGACGGCAGCACGCTGCCCCCGCCGTTCAACATCATCCCCACGCCGAAGAGCATGATGCGCCTGATGGGCGTGGGCCGCGTGCAGCATGCCGCCTCGTTCCGTCTCAAGGATCAGCAGAAGCGCGACAAGCAGTACTTCAGCGTGATGCGCGCCCTGGTGCGCCGTTACGTCACCAGCGAGCAGAAGAAGATGGAGGACACGGGCGTGACCGAGGACGACATCAACGAGGTCAAACAGGACATCAACAGCTTCAAGTACCAGCTGCTCGACGTGCTCCGCAAGAACGGCATGACTATCGGCAACTCCGAGGAGGACAAGGGTGAGCCGCTAGTGGATAAGACGTCCGTCCCGTAACTCGGTGGCAGCGAGTTCGCGGCCGGGGAGCTCTACGCCGTTTGATTCGCTTTCCTATATGTTCAGCCAGTTGGGAACTGGTGAACGAGAGCCACGCTAGAATCGGAGGGACCGTTTTGCCATCTACCTGCCATACTTTCGATCAAAATAATCACCGGTGAACCAGGCCTAGGCGCGTGCAAGGTCGGATGGTAGGGCCATGGCGTCATTTGCAACAAGCCCCGCTTACGTGGAACCTGGGCCCAAAGCCATCCATTCATTGGGACAAATTTTCCAAAAAAGTAAGAAAAAAAAACCGGTAAGCTCTGGCGTTGAAATCAAACGGTTAAAATAGACACCAATTCTACGTCATAAAAACGCTTAAATATTTATTAACCCGCGCCGGGCCGATGCTCTGAGATTCCGCGCCGGGCCGGGAGGGGGGGGGTGTGTGTGTGTCTGAACACCCCCTCCCCCTTCTAACTCGGCTCCTGGGCCACGTAGCGATACGCGGTAAGCGGCAATCGAAAGAACGTCCAAAATAAGGACGAAAACACTTCAGTCATTTTTTGGGTCAGGTTAAAGGTCAGGTCACCAGAGGTCACCAAGAGTAAAATGTTGACTATTTCAACATTTTGGAAACTGCCGACGGCTATCTCAGGAACCGATAGAGCTACAGTGCCGCGAAAAAGCGCATTCGATAGCCCTTTTACAGACCTTTCTGATTAACGCTCTCAGATTTGACCTCAGGTCAACGGTTTAGCCTCCAGAGGGCAAAAACTCCAAAAATAGCCGTTTTTACGAAAAACATTTTTTTTTTCGGTAATAGCTTTTGACTCAAAAGAGCCACGACATTACTTTTGCCAGCATCGTGTTCCTCTCGTTGAGACGCGTCGAATGAAATATAATTTGACCTTGAAAGATCAACTTGAAAATTTGACCTCAGGTCAAGGTCATGACCTGACCGGAAAAGGTCATGTTGCATATCAGTCGATCCGCAACGTCGAGCCGAACACATCTAGGGCATTTTCAGCGCTCTAGCACGCCTCTATCAGAAGTTATTAGCGAAAAACTGTTAGATTCTGTTCGTGACCTGAGATGACCTCGGGGACATAACGAGGGGTCACAGTTGCCATTTTCCGGTTTAGTGTGTCAATCTTACCTACATTTCGATATTTGAGAGTGTCTAGAATAGCGTTCGTGCAAAACAGACGCTTTTCAATTTTCTCCCATTGACTTCTAATGGAGAGGCCGCAAAATTGACCTGACCTTAGGTCACCAATATCAAAATTCCGAGATATACATTTCGTAGATAATGTTGCCCTAACTAATCGCTGCAAGTTTCAAGGCAATCGATCAATCGGTGTAGCTATGACGAGCATTCTTATTTTTTCTGAGGTGAGGTCACTTGGCGTGACCTGGTGACTTGACCTAAGGCGACCCGGATCTGAAAGTTTCACAACATGTGCGGAAAAGATGCACGAACAGGTGTGCCAAAAACAGCGGCGCTCCGCGCCGCCGTTTTTGAGATAGGTATCTGCGAAAAACCGCAGGGGGGATGTTCAAACAGCCCCCCCCCGGCCCGGCTCGGGTTAAGCATTTTCGTATAGCCCCAATATGCCCCAATGTTCACTTTCGGTCTATGTACGCAGTCGGCGGAGGCCGTAAGCAGCAGCAGAAGGAGCGCCGGCTCATCAAGGGCTTCAACATCGGCATGGTGGAGAACGCCAACTTCAGCCTCAGCTCCAATGCCGGCAACCAGGCCGCCGACTTCTTCAGCGGCATACTGCTTGGAAAACGCAAGCAATCCAGCAAAAAGAAGGTGAGAAAGCGCGGAGGAGCGCAGCAGAGGTAAATTTAGCCACGCGATTTTTCATTTTATGAATGGCTGGTTGAGTGTGGGCAGGTTAACTCATGCAGCCTGCTGTCGATTGGTTGCCGAATGAGTGTCTCGTGTTGCCTGAACGCTGAGCCCTAACCACCGCCCCCTCCCCCTCCCGGCAAGACTTGAACGCCATGGTGCGGGAGCCTTAAAACCCGCGCCCCGCTGGGGGGAGGGGGGGCAGAATCTGCCCCCCCTCCCGTTTTTCGCCAATAACTTCTAAACGCGTTACGCCAGCAACGTCAAACTTTCAGTACCTTATCATACATCAATTTGACACGTTCCCTGAAAATTTGAGCGAAATCCGTCGGAAAAATTTTGAGAAATTGACGTTTCTGTGACGTCATGTTCGCCATTTTCGCCTCAAAAACGGCAAAATTTCAAACGCCGCTAACATCTTCATTTTTAAAGGAATCAAGACGTAACAAAAAAGTTATACGTGATTCTACTTTGTCTATCAAATGGCTATCTCGGTTTAAAAAAAAATGGATTTTGGCCCAAATTTTTTCAAAAAACTGACTTTTTTGGGAAAATTATTATAAAATCCAAAATTTTGAGTGTATCGAAAAAACGGAATATATGTCAGAGAAGAAGTAGTCTATGTGCACCTATATACCAATTTTTAGAAGAATCGGTTCAAAAATGTGGGAGTTATTCAAAATGTTATGACGTCACGACAACCAAAAATTTTGAAAAAAATGATTTTTTTTTGGAAGTTCTAGACCTCGTACGGAAACAAAAATAGCACCATTCGATTCGCCGTGAAAAACTGCATCAGATAGACACCTTTTTAGGCCTTAACCCGCGCCCCACTGGGGTCTGTGTATAACACGCCCTACTGGGGGGGGGGGGCTATTCATAGCCCCCCTCCTAACTCCGAAACTACTGGGCCGATCGTCAAAATTCAAACGGCGTCTGATAGCCCCGGAAAAACTGTCGAGCGAAACCTAATTTCATTGACCTCGAGGTCACCGATGACGTCACAGGTCAGGTCAAAGTAAAAATTATTAGCACTTTGGCTTGTTCACATTTTGGGCTCTGGCCGCCGTCTTACAAGTCAGATCAGGCTCATTTTTGGTTTCCACACTCGTGAACAGATGCTCTAGATACCTTGAGGGTACCAAACTTGTACTTTGATTTTCAGGTCAGGGTCAGGTCATCACAGGTCACGAAAATATTATATCATGCGTCGGTCACGTGACACATGTTTTATGGTCCATTTAGGCCATAGATTTCGAATTTGATGTCGTCTGTGTCATTCAAGGTCATTTTGAGTCGAAATTGGCTTAGGTCAGGTCACTTTCATGTCAAAAAGGTCAAATTTTGAAGTTGAAATTTTTCAACAAAAAAGGTGTCTGTTGGATGCAGTTTGAGCTCAGGAACACGATGGTGCCATTTATATTGGTGTACGATGCCAAATACGTACTGAAAAATTGATTTGAAAAATTAATAATTGTGAATTTTTTGCAATAATGCGTATAACTTGGCCATTTTTGAAGATATTTAGCTAAAACTTGCTAGAGTTAGTCATAATCATGCGTTCTGTCACATATATTCCGGTTTTTTCGAAAAGTCAAAAACTTTTTGAAAAAATATAAAAATATAAATTTTGAATATTATTATATAAAATTTTCGAAATTTTCAAACTTTTGAAAATCCGAGATAGCAGTTTGATAGCGCGGTCAATTCTGAGTTCTTTCATGCAAAGAAATTGGATCTAGCTTAAAAACTGAGCTCTTGGGAGCGATTGCCGTGGTTCAATGTTTTGCGTCGAAATCGGACGAACATGACGTCACTCTGACGTCATTTCCGGCCGACCTATAGTAGCTACGAAGTTCAAATTTTGACACAAGGTGTCAAATTGATGCAGCCGAAGGTACTGAAAGTTTGGCGTCGATTCGTCAAGCGGTTTGGAAGTTATTGCAGAAAAACGGGAGGGGGGGCTATAAATAGCCCCCCCCCAGTGGGGCGCGGGTTAACAACCAACTTCAAAATTTGACCTCACTTGACCTGACCTTGACCTGACCTCGACCTGAAATTCATCCAGAGGTGGTCCATATCACTTATTGAGTGTGCCTATTGAATTCTATGAGTAAAATGACCCATAAAACATGTGTCGCACATGCCCTTTTCTATATGTTGTTTTTGGTGACCTGACCTGACCTGACCTGACCTTGACCTTGACCTTTGAATGACATTGTATGCAACGAATATTGTCTTGGTAGTCTAAGAACACGTTTTGGGCAATCAGTCTCAGTCCATTCTCCGGCAACTACGGTGCAAGGCCGATACTGTAGAAACTTACATTTTGTACCCTTGACCTGACCTTGACCTGACCTCTGACCTACTTAAGCAAAAAAATTTGGGCTCTTTAGATCCGCCTTGTTGAGAGCTTTCGATTGCCGTTTTCCCCGTCTTTCTACGACCATCGGTTCGGAAGTTAGACAGGGGGGCAGAATCTGCCCCCCCCCCCCCCCAGCAGGGCGCGTATGGCTGAATAGCCCAGCGGGGCGCGGGTTAAAGGGACCCTCCCACCTTCAAAAAAGTTAATAAATTGGCATGAAAGTGATGTCGCTCGGTTCAGAAAGAGCAAAAACGAATATCTACCAAATTTCATCGAAAAATATTCACCGGTTTTCAAGATATTAGACTTTTACTTTTGTTTACTTTTTGGGATCGCCGCCCTAGCTACCGCCCCCTCCCGGCAGGACTGGAACGCCGAGCCCTAACCACCCCCCCCCTCCCCCAGCAGGACTGGAACGCCGAGCCCTAACCACCACCCCCTCCCCCGGCAGGACTGGAACGCCGAGCCCTAACTACCGCCCCCTCCCCCGGCAGGACTGGAACGCCGAGCCCTAACCACCGCCCCCTCCCCCGGCAGGACTGGAACGCCGAGTCCTAACTACCGCCCCCTCCCGGCAGGATTTGAACGCCGAGCCCTAACCACCGCCCCCTCCCCCGGCAGGACTGGAACGCCGAGCCCTAACCACCGCCCCCTCCCCCGGCAGGACTGGAACGCCGAGCCCTAACTACCGCCCCCTCCCCCGGCAGGACTGGAACGCCGAGCCCTAACCACCACCCCCTCCCCCGGCATGACTGGAACGCCGAGCCCTAACCACCGCCCCCTCCCCCGGCAGGACTAGAACGCCGAGCCCTAACTACCGCCCCCTCCCGGCAGGACTGGAACGCCGAGCCCTAACCACCGTCCCTCCCGGCAGGACTGGAACGCCGTGGTGTGGGACCCTTAACTTCCCCAGCAGAACTGGAACGCCGAGCCCTAACCGCCGCCCCCTCCCGGCAGGACTGGAACACCGAGCCCTAACCACCGCCCCCTCCCTCGGCAGGACTGGAACGCCGAGCCCTAACCACCGCCCCCTCCCCCGGCAGGACTGGAACGCCGAGCCCTAACTACCGCCCCCTCCCCCGGCAGGACTGGAACACCGAGCCCTAACCACCGCCCCCTCCCTCGGCAGGACTGGAACGCCGAGCCCTAACCACCGCCCCCTCCCCCGGCAGAACTGGAACGCCGAGCCCTAACCACCACCCCCTCCCCCGGCAGGACTGGAACGCCGAGCCCTAACCACCGCCCCCTCCCCCGGCAGGACTGGAACGCCGAGCCCTAACCACCGCCCCCTCCCCCAGCAGGACTGGAACGCCGAGCCCTAACCACCGCCCCCTCCCCCGGCAGGACTGGAACGCCGAGCCCTAACTACCGCCCCCTCCCGGCAGGACTGGAACGCCGAGCCCTAACCACCGCCCCCTCCCCCGGCAGGACTGGAACGCCGAGCCCTAACTACCGCCCCCTCCCGGCAGGACTGAAACGCCGAGCCCTAGCCACCGCCCCTGCCCCGGCAGGACTGGAACGCCGAGCCCTAACCACCGCCCCCTGCCCCGGCAGGACTGGAACGCCGAGCCCTAACTACCGCCCCCTCCCCCGGTAGGACTGGAACGCCGAGCCCTAACCACTACCCCCTCCCCCGGCAGGACTTGAACGCCGAGCCCTAACCACCGCCCCCTCCCCCGGCAGGACTGGAACGCCGAGCCCTAACCACCGCCCCCTCCCCCGGCAGGACTGGAACGCCGAGCCCTAACTACCACCCCCTCCCCCGACAGGACTGGAACGCCGAGCCCTAACCACCACCCCCTCCCCCGGCAGGACTGGAACGCCGAGCCCTAACCACCGCCCCCTCCCCTGGCAGGACTGGAACACCGAGCCCCAACTACTGCCCCCTCCCGGCAGGACTGGAACGCCGAGCCCTAACCACCGCCCCCTCCCGGCAGGACTGGAACGCCGTGGTGCGGGACCCTTAACTTCCCCAGCAGAACTGGAACGCCGAGCCCTAACCACCGCCCCCTCCCCCGGCAGGACTGGAACGCCGTGGTGCGGGAGCCTTAACTCCGCCCTTCTCCAGCAGAACTGGAACGCCGAGCCCTAACCACCGCCCCCTCCCTCGGCAGGACTGGAACGCCGAGCCCTAACCACCGCCCCCTCCCCCGGCAGGACTGGAACGCCGTGGTGCGGGACCCTTTACTTCCCCAGCAGAACTGGAACGCCGAGCCCTAACCACCGCCCCCTCCCCCGGCAGGACTGGAACGCCGTGGTGCGGGAGCCTGAACTTCCCTAGCAGAACTGGAACGCCGAGCCCTTACCACCGCCCCCTCCCGGCAGGACTGGAACGCCGAGCCCTAACCACCGTCCCTCCCGGCAGGACTGGAACGCCGAGCCCTAACCACCGCCCCCTCCCCCGGCAGGACTGGAACGCCGAGCCCTAACCACCGCCCCCTCCCCCGGCAGGACTGGAACGCCGTGGTGCGGGAGCCTGAACTTCCCTAGCAGAACTGGAACGCCGAGCCCTAACCACCGCCCCCTCCCCCGGCAGGACTGGAACGCCGAGCCCTAACCACCGCCCCCTCCCCCGGCAGGACTGGAACGCCGAGCCCTAACCACCGCCCCCTCCCCCGGCAGGACTGGAACGCCGAGCCCTAACCACCGCCCCCTCCCCCGGCAGGACTGGAACGCCGAGCCCTAACCACCGTCCCTCCCGGCAGGACTGGAACGCCGAGCCCTAACTACCGCCCCCTCCCCCGGCAGGACTGGAACGCCGAGCCCTAACCACCGCCCCCTCCCCCGGCAGGACTGGAACGCCGAGCCCTAACCACCGCCCCCTCCCCCGGCAGGACTGGAACGCCGAGCCCTAACCACCGCCCCCTCCCCCGGCAGGACTGGAACGCCGAGCCCTAACCACCGCCCCCTCCCCCGGCAGGACTGGAACGCCGAGCCCTAACTACCGCCCCCTCCCCCGGCAGGACTGGAACGCCGAGCCCTAACCACCGCCCCCTCCCCCGGCAGGACTGGAACGCCGTGGTACGGGACAGCATGCGGCGCCGGGACCACATCGGCTCGTCGGTGGTCAGTCTGGACCGCGCCCGGCGCCGCTCCAAGCGTCTCACACAGCGCCGCAAGGAGGCGCTCTCCAAGGGACTGGCCATGACACCCGTGCCCAGACCCAAGTGGAAGAAGGTAGGCGCACCATTACAGCCTTCTTGATATCGATGTAAGGAGTAGCTTTACCGAGTGTCAGTTGAACTTCCGGTGCGTAGATCGCTACGTACAATATTTCATACACTAGAGGATATTTCCTTGCGCTTTGTAACTTGTAAGTCGGAAGCTCGTGCGAGCCTAAGTACACTTATTGACAACATCGTCTCCTAAATCAATCACATCACCCACGTCATGTGACTGCACTTGCGCAGAAGAGCCGTCAGGTGAGCGCTCTATACACGCCACACGGCACTTGCCTCCCCACGTGTGTCGGCGCTCGCCGAGCGCGCCTGCAGCCGTCCTGACGCCGCTCTCCGCTGTGTCGGCGCCAGGTCCAGTACATGTCGCAGCACGGCGCGTTCCGCGACGGCATACTGGACCAGGAGCTGGTGAACCAGATCCTCAACATGGACCGGCGCCTGTCCACCGGCTGGGGGCGCGTGCAGGCGCTCCAGCTGCGCGGCGCCTTCTCGCCCTGCGGCGCCGACGAGCCGATCCTCGAGGAGGACGAGCGGCGCGCCAGCGTCTACCCGAGACCGGCGGCCGGCTCGCCCGCTCCAGGTCCGTCCCTCTCTGTGTGTGTGTAACTATGTGTTTCAGTCTGTCAGTGTCTGGCTGAGTCTGTTGTTCTGTTTGAAATGACTCTCCGGCGATGCCGATCGTATGCCGTATCGTATGCCGTACCATGCCGTATCGTGACCGTGACATGGCGACCTCCCTTGTTCCAGAGCCGGACACCCGCTGTTCGTCCGCTCAGTCGGGTCGGGAGTCGGCCGCGGGCGCGGGCTACGCTATCGGGGAGGAGGACGAGGGGGAGGCGGCCTCCCAGCCGGCGCCGCCGTCCCAGGCCGGCGACGGCGACGGACCGTCGCGCCGACCCTCGGCCGTCAGTGGCGCCAGCTCCCGACCTCCCTCTCAGAAACGGCGTGCCCCGACGCCCCCTGGCAGCAGCGCCGCTCCGCGGGCCGGCTCCGGCGCCGGGCAGCCCGCCGCCACCGCTCCCTCCCCGCAGCCAGACGCGGCGCCCACCAGCAGCGGAAGCGCCGCGCCGGCACCACCGGCAACTCCGGCAAAGGAGACGAGCGCAGCGCCATCCGCGGCGCCGTCCACGAGACCATCCGCCGCGCCGTCCCCAGAGCCGGCCGCTACGTCAACCCCGAGACCGTCCACCACACCCACCCCACAGCCGTCCGCAGCTCCCTCACCGGGGCCGTCCGCAGCTCCCACCCCGGGGCCGTCTGCCGCGCCCTCCCCGGCACCGTCTGCCGCGCCCTCCCCGGCACCATCGCTCGCGCCCTCCCCGGAGCCGAGGGCGGCGGCTGGGGACACCGCGGACAGGAGGAAGAGCTCGGTGACGCCGACCCTGCCGCCGCCGCCCCGGTCCTCGCCCCGCGGCTCACTATGTCCGCCCCCGGCGTCAGCTACCCGGCGACCCTCCGCCGGCTACAGCCGCCAGCAGAAGGGCGGCTGGCTGTAGGCCGCAGGTCGGCTACAGCAGAGGGGCGGCGACCCTCCGCCGGCTACTACTGGCGGCTACAGGCGCCAGCAGAAGGGCGGCTGGCTGTAGGCCGTAGGTCAGCTACAGCAGAGGGGCGGCGACCCTCCGCCGGCTACAGCCGCCAGCAGAAGGGCGGCTGGCTGTAGGCCGTGGGTCGGATACGGCAGAGTCGCTGGCCTCTGCCGGCAGAGTCGCTGGCCTCTGCCGGCGACTGAGGCCCGCCGACAGCTCCGACTGGACTTTATCGGCCGAACGGTTCGGGATCCCCGGTACAGCCCACCGAGCTCCGTCAAACGCAGCGTGCTCTCGGCCCAGTGGTAACTGTAGCTTATTCAGGATGATGCATAACATAGCGAATTGAAGTATACAGTATACACGGAGTTCTATAGCCTTGGACCCTTGGTATACGAGTACACATCAAAACGGGCCATCAAGCTACTGCAAGCAATCATTTCATGATGCTATGAACTGTGAATAAACGCCAGTTCAATTGGACAATTCTGAGACCGGGACGTATGCATTTAAGTTATTCGCAATTTAAGTTATGTGTCAGGCATAATTACTACCGGTTTCAGCAAAACACGAATAGAATGCATTTCATTGCAAGTTGCAGGGAAACGGAAGCTCCCTTGTGATATTTGATAGCCAGGCAAAGCGTTCCTAGAAGATTAGGGATATGTGCATTAGTAGCCGATTGTGTTACCATTGCTTATGTTATGTATGCTAGTGTACTTTGTTAGCACCTTATGTTATGTTTATGTATATGTTATAGCATATTCATAATGTTACTCAGCACTTTATACCACCAACCATGAGCTTCTTCACCTAAATGCACGACATAGTTAAGTAGTTTAATACTTATAACATTAAATGAATAGCTTATTTCAGCGAGAAGTGCTGAGTTATGTTTCTTGTTCATGACCGCTTATCTGGTGTTGGCTTCAAATATAATTACTCTATCCTTGTCTATTATTGTGTGAGAAGTTGTAGTTGCCACCATCTGTTCCATCCCTCCCCCAGATGTGTCAGCCGCGGTGGTCGGAACATAAAGAGCCCGATGAAAGACGGAATGCAGCCTTTCCTCTGCCGACCGGCTTAAACTGATACTGAAATGACGCTGCGCAAAGCTGTGCTTTACATGCAGGACCCACGACAACCATAATAGAGTCAACCGCAAGGAAAGGAGCGACCGAGCGGAATGAGATGTATGCGGTATGCGGTAGACTAGATTCGGCGAGCCAGATAGCCTAGAAGAGAGACTATAAAAATATCACTGATTAATGATCATATATCACACTGATTATATCACCGATCTCTTTTCTGCATGCAAGTAAGGTCAGAGAGCAGAATATCGTATGGCCCATCAGGTCACCCGTATCATACCACTCTCCAGTCTCCAGCAATAGGTACATCCAAGAGGTTGCATTAGCATCACAGGACACGGACCATCGTGTGTTGTGTGGCGTGCATTACGCTGTACATACACAGCACCAAAGGCATGCGACAGCCGTGTGATGGGTCAATGCCCACGGTCTGATGCCAGTCGCTGCAGCCCGCTGTCGGCTCCAATGACAGCTGGCTACGCGTCGCGATATGCGGCGCGGCGCGTATACCTTACGCAAGGGGGCGGTGTCATGCCGCTCGGACCGCTCGCCGCTCGGTATATGTGGACGATAACTGATGAATGTCCTGGTTCAGTTTCTGAACAATCTGGAACACTGGATATCTAACGCATTATTCTGCATCGCAGAACCGCCTTCACAAGCTCAGCCTGGCAGCACGATTTCAGACAAAGCTAAGCCGAGACATCTGGAAACAGATAAAGCACCGATTCCAGATCAACCTGCCAGTGGCAACCTCTTTGGACGTCGCTTAGCTGATACATGTAGCCTGCAATTCCAGGATAAACAATGTCGCCACGCATTAGGACTACGCGAGGGTTGTCGCGAAGGCGCTGGGCCTGATCTGTATTCTGTAACATCCGGCCGGAGCCTCCCAGCCGTAAGGATTCAGACGGGCGTGGCCCGAACCATTGTTTATTCCCTGAACGACACAAGTAGAGGTGACAGCGAACACAACACATGTGACTGCTTGGAACGGTTCCTGCAATCGCGGTATGCCCGTACAAAAAGACACATGTCGCGTACCTACCGCAGATACGTGTTCGAGTCGTACAATGATGCGTGTTCGAGTCATACAATGATGCGTGTTCTAGTCATACAGTGATGCGGGTTTAGTCATACAGAGTTTAATACCTGTGTAGTGTATATGTTGCAGGCACTTTAGAAAATCAGTCATTTTGTAAAATGCCTAGGCATTTTACAAAAAGACGGCTGTTTGAAAAATGACTGAACGCAACCAGGCTTTTTTCAAAATGGCTAGCCATTTTACAAAATGACTAGGCATTTTGCAAAATGTCTGACCAGCATGGAACGTAGATCCCACTACAGATACTAGGTATGGCCAACAGTTTTTGGACGTTTTCCTACATATACCCTATAGGTACGTGTTCAGCCTGTAGCTGATCGATTTGAAGCTCTGTGATGACGACAATGCTGAGTAGCGACCAGGTTGAGTTGCAGACTCGGCTGTAGCATAAAGCATTGTTTAGTTAACGCTGTAAAAACTCCCAAGTACATCAACGCCGTTCATGTTCTGCCTGAAACTAGACCTAACAAAACCAGCCGGAGACCGGCCCCAGTTAATAGGCAGACCCGGTTGATGTGCAATTACATGTAAACGAATGAGTGTAGTCTTTGTTTGATTGTGTCTTTGTTTGACAGCTTTGAGGGTCTCGCGAGATTAAGCGGTAGGTTTTGCACTTTTACATTTCCGGTTATATCTCAGAAACTAATCGATCTACGATGAAGCCATTTTACACGATCATGGCCGGTTTGTTACCCAACCAGTCGATCGCATATTCAACATTTAAAAGCTTAAGACGACGAAGATATAGCCTGAAGTACACTAAATTTTTTAGGTGCAAAACCTACCGCTAAAACCCGCGAGACCTGTACCTACCTACTTGCATGGTCCCAGTTAAAAATATCAAGCTCCACATCGGGAGAATCATCAGGTCGCTTGGCGTAGGACGAGAGCGTTGGTTTCAGAAGACACTAACGCCTATGTAAGTGTGTGGGATCCAATCCTCGCGACCTCTAATGGTTTTACACTCAGATACAGGCCGGCATAGGGCCAGTCGTTTGTTGACGCTCCAGATCGATCATTTTAAATCCAGCAGCGTCGCTGACGTGGGGGTTGGAAATGTCACGGGCCTGCACTTCTCAAAATAGAGAGAGGTAGGTATGGACTTCCCACTGCTGGACTCCTCTGGTCATAATGCTGGACTCCTCGGCCCACCTACACGCTACCAAAACGTATATAATTAGGTACTCGTATCTACAACACGCTGCTCAGTCATTTTGTAAAATGGCTAGGTATTTTGTAAAATGCCTAGGCATTTTGCAAAATGACTGGAGAGTCAGTCATTTTGTAAAATGCCTAGGCTTTTTGCAAAAAGCCTGGAAAATCAGGCATTTTGCAAAATGCCTAGGCATTTTACAAAATGACTGATTTTCTAAAGTGCCTGCAACATATATAACACACGGGCATCCCATGCCAGCAGTGTCTGGTCACCACACTTTGGTGACGATGAAAACAAACGCTTGTAAAACTTAACATCAGAAAACGCACGCAATTGTCCAACATTCTTACACAGGTACAGGTGAATTGTGATATCATATATGTAGCTACGTTTGAGAGTATAAGTGCATTGAATAATAGTGCCTTGTGACATCCGAGAGTACCGATATCGTAATTAAATGCTCGCAGCTATTTTTCAGCGGAGCTATTGCTCTTTCACGACTGACAGATACCTACTTAGCACACGAATGTAGTTACCGTTCGAAACAAACGGCATTCCGCTCATCACCTCTGCGCCCGTCAGGCCGTCACAACAATGTGCACATTTTGTTACACCCCGTGTGACACGACGGAAAGTTGTGTTGTGCGCTGACAATTTACATACACTGACCATAGCTGGAGGCAAACCATGAGAACACAGATGACACGACGACAAACGGTCGAAATGACGGGACCAATACCCAATAAATACTGGCAGGTAGGAACCATAGTCTAGGCAGCCTCTGAATCAATCTTTGTATATAAACAACCTCCGAATCACCAATCCATTCATGGCACATCTATCTCTGAGATCAAATCGTGTCCAGTGCTGTCACTAGCTTGGCTATGCGGGTGAAGTTCCAATACTACAGAGCAATATACTCCAATACTACTCCAGTAGGTACTGTAGAGCAATATACAACGACTGCACAAATACATCAAAATCGCCTTCCCTATGTGATGGCCAATGCGATTACAAAACGAATAACGATAACATCATGTTAAACTCAAGCCAATAAAATTACAGTTAACTATTACGGGCGAACAAAATGCAGGTGACAGACGATAAAACGTCGATAAAATTAGCAGCCAGTGGCCCCGTCACAGAACAGCTACGCACTACACGCAGTCAGCAGAGGACCGTGTTACTAGCAATAATCCAGCTTTACGGGTATGAATAATAAACAGGTCGCTGTCGCTGCCATTATCAAACTTAGTTATTTACAAGCATTCACGACATTAAAGTTATCAATAAAACATTTGGCCTTTCCCTGAAATATTTTTGTTGGCATTGATGATTGGAGCCAGCCCAATTGGTCCCGGTCTTTGATTAATCCGCACCCGGGTGGGGATTCGGTCAACTTCGCTATGGTGGGGATGGGGGAGGGGGCAATTGGCTAAACCGTAAACGACACATCCAGAAAAGGCTAAACAATTGGAAAAACAGAGAAAAACAATCAATTGCATTCAACGAGCAGATTGAAATGCAAATTTAGGTATGTCCCAGTACAATAATTTCATTTGAGCCCTCCTCAACAACACTGTGTGCAGTGCAATACACCGCCTAACCCTCGCCGGCCGAGTAGGGGGAAGGGGGGGGGTGCCCCCCATAAGGATTTTTCGCGATAGCTTCCAACACGCTGGCGATAGGGAGCCGAAACCTGACATACCTGACCTTCGGTTCAAGCCGAATCTTAAGATACCAACTGCATTTTCAGGTCAGGTCAGGTCACTGACCTATTATGAGTTGACGTAATAAAAGAACCTCTGCACGGTCATCAGATGTCGGTACTTTGCAACACCCCCACTGCCAGAGGAACTTTCCCAGGGAGATAAAACTTACTGCTATTTCGGCGCCGGGAACGATCACAAACTATCTCAAGCATACGAAATCGTGAATTTCATACAATCCTTGCAAGGTCAGCTGCTTCACTTTTGCATTGTTGACCTTGCATGACGTCATTTATGACGTCACTAAGGTCATAAGAGTTTTTCGTCAATAGCTACCGATCAAATTGAGCTAGCAAGCCGAAAAAACTACCAATGGACTCGAGAAGACCTACCAAAGCGAATGATATGCAATATGACCTCCTTCGACCAGCTTCGTGACCTGGGGGCTCTGAACTGACCTTGAATCGAGGTCAACACCTCAAGTTGACCTCACCCGAACAAACAGTATACCATTCGACGCGACTGAGCGAGGCGAACACGATTATGCCAAAAATAACGGCGCTTCGACAGTTTTTTTTGGGGAGGGGGGGTAAGTTATTGCTCAAAAACCGAACCCATGCCTTCGACCACTTGACCTGACCTTAGAGGTCACCGGTTGACCTGAGACCTTAAAATCGGGTACCAGTCGCTGCGTCTCGTATCGACGCATACGCTCGTTCTTTCCGCAACGCTCCAACCCCATCAGGGGCGACACAGCGACTAGGGAGGTCGTACCAACCTCCTCAGCCGGCGCGTATGTAGAAAACCAATAGGTCCGGCGAGGGTTAAAACTAACCCAGCATTCTCACCAACATATTTTGACAGTGAGTAAATTGGCCTGAAGCTGCTCTCCAAGG